AAATTAACCCAAGACTCCGGGGTTCTGCGTCCCATAAGGCTGGGAGGTTCCTCAGCTTCAAAGCAGAGCCCAAAGCCGCGGGGAAGCCTTGTGTAACATTATTGCCCGCAACAAAATCACCATCGGGATTTAAACACGTTACAAGCAGGGAGTCAGATCCCCCAGATCACCTCGTTACAGGAATTCTCTCGGTTACACCGGCAGTCAGGTACCAGATTCTGTGTGTCCTGACGGGCACAGCCTCCTACGAAAATAAAAACAAGTTCAGATTTCTTCAGCCGGGCTTCTTGGCAGATTTTTCTTTCCTTAAAATATTCTCCATTCTGACTACCCAGGGAACAGGAGAGATCCCTAAAAGATATTTAAATACGAACAAACTTAAATACGTTAAACGACAAAACGGGAAAGGTGCGGAGAACTCGGTAAGCAACCAGCGGGGAGCAGGGGATCTAAAACTGCTCCTTCGGTTCACTGATCTTCCTCCGTTTTGGCAGCACGTCTTGACTAGACGAGAGTTCGAGCTGGTGAACCTGCCGAGGGAACACAAAGAGCGCGTCACAGGTTGTGGCACAGCCCAGACCGTGGCCTGCTCTGTGGCACGGGCAAGCTTCTCACGGGAGAAGTGATGATGAGCGTACAGATCAATGGTGGCGTTTTCGTTGGGGTTTTATTTTTTTTTTTCCCTTTTGCATCAGTAAATAAGAAAAAAATGCATGACCCTGGGGTTGAAAGCAAAAAAAAAAAATTAAAAATAATCTATTCTGCAGTAAGTAGTACTTCACAAAAAGACTGAATCTACAGCGTTGTATTCAGAACTTAACATCTCCAGGGATTTGCTGCAAACTCCGATGGCTCTTTTCACACACAGCGCCCATACGCGGGTACTTTTAAGACACAGATCGATTTCTCTTCTGGATTTCTTTAGAACGTTCTGCCGAGGAGCGAATCTTGCACGCTCTCAGGCTTGATTTCTATCTGCCTTAACAGAATTAAGGCAACTCTTAGTTGGCAAGGATCGAGCTGGGCAGGATGAATCCTCACACAACCATGGCACCAGAAATCACCAAAGAGCTCTCCCGAGCAGGGACAGGGATTTCCGCGGCCCTGACAAGGAATTTCCCCTCCCGACGGCACATGAAGAGCCCTCAGTGACCAGGATGGCAGCCCTCACCCCAGCTTCTTCTGAGGGGCACCCACCAGGAACCACCAACACTGACAAGTACCAGATGCTGAGGTCTTGCGAAGGCCCCTCAGCGTCTCACAAAGCTGGAGCGACCAAAGGCAGTCGGCAAAGGCAGCAGCCAGAGGGAGCCCCCCAATGCCACCACCAAAGGCCAGATTCCACCCTGAAGACAACTCTGCTCCACCAAGGCTGGAGGAACTGGGCTCCTCACAAGCAGCACCAACTACAGGACTTGTCTGCTGCAACGTGAGTAAAGAAATAACCGATTTTTCTTGGCACGAGTGAGTCACAGAGCTGAGGTTAGAATTTTGGCCTCGTGTTTTCCAAGTAAGATCACTACCAAGCACGTGGTACGCTGGGCTGGGGGTGAAACCAGTGGGGAATCTGGCTAAAGCCATTTTGAAGATAGAAATCAATCCTAAAGAGTCTTTCTCAACTTGTTTTAACTGTATCCACGCTCACCTTCTCACTCTTTGCAACAGATTTATTTTTTTCCTGACACTAAGAATCCAAACTTTTGAATTTTATGGGTGTTTCTGAAGTGATGAGAATTTCGTTCTGCCAGCACGAAATGTATTAAAGCTTCGAGTTGTATTCACTATTTGGAACAGAAAAAGGCTTAAAAAAAAGAACAGAAGTAGAAAAGAGAAAAAAATGGTACTAACAGTGCTGGCTTGAAAGATCCTTCCACTTCTTGTCCTGCTCTCCGACACGTTAAGTTCAGACGTCTTACTTGCCAAATGATCGACCTAAAATCAGAAGACAGACTTTGCCTTACGAAAGCAAGAGAAATACGTATCAGAGGCTATAGGAGGGTTCAGTGCTGTGGCTCGCAGAGAGCTCTGGCTCCACTCACCACAGCGCTGGAGCCAAAATTTCAACATGGGAGCGTATGCACTGAAGGCACTGCGCTCTTTAGAGCTCAACGTGCCAACGAGCCCCGAGGGATCAAAGCATCGGTTGTTTTCATACAGTAAGTCACTCACGGGTACCTGGGGCTGCTCTGTTTGAAGCTGTCCTCTACAGTTAAATGACGTCATTTTGCGACAGCCCAAGTTTCAAGTCTGAATAATAAATGCAAATCTGAAGTTTTAACCAACCTTTAAACAAGTTTCGGTCTGTCAGAATTAGCAGCGAAATTTCTATTAGGCAGAGCAGTTAATTATGGCAGTTTATGAACATGGAAATTACGTTCCCATTTCTCTTAATGTCAGTGAGACGACCTGTCTGGTTTGCAAAATGCAGTGCTGAGGAACAGCCTTTTGTTATTGCTTTTGATTGCTTTATAATACTAACCAGAGAGGAAAATGTAAAGGCACTTTTTTTGCTGGAAATACTGGCTGTGGCAAATAAATCTCGAGCAGATTACTCAAAGTGAGAACGCAGAGTGGTAAAAGCTGAAAAGGACAGAGGGCAGTTCTCATACCTGAGGATTAGAAACATATAGACTCCGGTTGCCTCCAGCCTTCATAACTTTGTCCTCCTCACAAGTTAAACTTGGTTCTTAAAAAAAAAAAAAAAAAAGAGTTAAATAAGAAGTCACACCGTTGACGACACACAAACTGCCTCTTAACACTGATGTTCTGTCACAAGGAACACGTGCACTTTATAAGTCCTTATCAGCACCAAGCATGATGCTTTCTCACATCTTAAATGCAGTGATTTCCCATCACAACTTCTTATTGCAGGCACACAAGAGATGCTTACACTAAGTAGTACAGACTTACACCCAGGATCTTTGGAAGAGTTTAATTTGAAGAAGAGGAGGCCAAGGGGAGACCTCATCACTCTCTGCAACTGCCTGACAGGACGGTGTGGAGAGGCTGGGGCTGGTCTCTTCTCACGGGTAGTTGGTGATGAAACAGTACGGAACGGCTTCAGGCGGCACCAGGGCAGGGTTACATTGGACAGTAGGAAAAGTTTTTCCCAGCAAGAGCAGTCAGCCGCTGGCACAGGCTGCCCGGAGAGGGGGCTGGGTCCCATCCCTGGAGGTGTTTAAAGCTCGCTGAGATGTGGGGCTGGGGGAGATGGTTTAGGGTGAGCTTTGCAGAGCAGGGGCAGTGGTTGGACTCGATGAGCCCAGGGGGCTTTTCCAACCTGAAGGATTCTAGGATTCTAAGAGTGGGCTCGACCCCCATACTCATTTATCCACTGTACTGCTAAAGGCTCATCCACTCTGGGATTGGCTTCCAAGGAAAAAGCCTCACGAGCCTGTTTTGTGCTGTGGGATGGGCAAGAAACGCCGTGGGGCCACTCACCCCAGCACAGCGTCTGCGTATTCTGAGCCCACTGGCACCGACAGTTCCCTGCAGCCACGTGAACAGGCCCCAAAGAACGAACAGTCAGTTCCAGAGATTTTTTTGCACTTCTATAGTCATGTGGAAAACGGCGTGCCTGAAGGTTTTTAGGGAAAATGGTATTTCTGAAGCCTGCAGAACCAGAGTTATATTTCAAAGCAGATGCAATTTTAGGGAAATGCGTTAAGAAGAGTGAATAGCGCAAGCAGCAGCACTAATGGGCATTTCTTCTATGAGTGCCACATACACTTGGTCTCCACAGAAGCATCTACCACTGCTACAGAAAAAAAAGCTTTTCACGCTGGCTTCTCATCCAAATAAAGGAGGTTTCCACCCCCTAGATCTTGGTGATAAAGCTTGGGTTCTTTACATCACAGCCTTGAAAACTGCATTCCTTTACCTATCCTGTTTCACATCAAGGCTTTTCTGAGCTTATTGATCCACACAATCTCTACTTAATCTTCTAGAAAGGGCACTTATTTCCCCTTTTGACTTTTCTTTGCTAAGTTTATGTGCAGCAAACAGGTACCAGTATTGTCTGGATGCTTCCTCTACAGCCTCTCTAAGAGGAGCAGATCAACAAACAGCAACTCATTCCTCAGTTCATCTGGTAGCAAAGTTCCACCTTTGAACAACCTTGGGAAACCTGAAGATAAATCATCTATTTTTCCTCCTACTTTCTCTAAAATCTTAAACGGGAAACTTCTGCTCACAGAGATCCCCAAGGATAGAGTTTGCAGCCTCGTGTTTTGAATTTGAGACAGTCTGAGTCTGATTCTATGATTCCACATCCTGGGGCACTGATTAAAAAACCCAACACAGCAGTGGAGTGCGTGTAGCAGCTGCGGTCAGGCTGACGGAGCCCGGACAGTTATTTTACTCTCCATTCAGAGCTTACAGTAGAGGACATGTACACGACTGTAAGCAAACACCACAGAATATATCTATCTGTAACGGCTAAGAGAAATCCAGCAAGACAAATGCTGCTGCTTTTTGTCAGAAAGGATGAGCAGGCAACTTCCTAATGTCCTGCGTAGCAGGAAGAACATAATTGCTTATTTGATAACAAGGGAGAAGGCAGCTTTGCCTTGCAGCATTAAAGAATCCTCAGAGAGCTTCCAAAACATAAGGTTTCATTTATCCTCTCCGCAGAGCTCTTCGTTCAACTGCTTATTGACATTGTTATACGATTTCCTTTTTTTAAATAATACAGAAGTAAATGGCTTTGGTACCTTCTTGAGAAATGCTGCCTCATAGGCTTCCACCTGGAATTTGTTTTTTTGCTGCTACTCACATTGTTTGCATAGTTTTACATGGACACTTTTTACAGTGTTGGGATTTTACTTGGGGAAACTCAGTTTGTTGAGATTCCTACCAACACAAACACTTTGCTAGAACCTGCACCTATTAAAACTGAACTTAAAAACGTTTACTTGCAATTTTGAAAATGCTCCATGTACACAGCAAGGGAAAGGGGCACGCAGGTGCACCGTAAGCTGTGAGAGCAAGCAGCTAGGAAAGGCACTAGAAGAGCCAGCAGCACAAACAGAATCACACAAATCAGTCATGAAACAAAACCTATTTGGAGATGAAGTTGCTGATCGTATCAGGAAGAGCAAACCACAGCAACGAACAACTTCCTTTCACAGAAGAATACACGTCTTACAGACACGGATTTTTTCCGTCCACCACAACATAAAAACTCTGCTGTGGACACGAGCCCTTACGCTCTGGGTTCCTTCCCAACCACACAGACTGAAGCATGTGTGGATTGCAGAATCAAACCTATTGTGGTCCTATTGTAGTTAGAGCTTAAGGAAAAAAGGTAGCTAAAAGCCATACTTCTGCTCAATTTTAGTGGCTGAGGCTGTGAGGATACAGTCCCAACAGCTGTGATTTACACAAAAATACACCTGGACTGTTGGGGCTTTTTTTGCACAGGGAATTCTGCTCCCTATCTGCAGTGATGAACTCAAGAGCGCAATAACTCTGCAAGCTTTATGTGGAAATAAAGTATATTAGTAAAAATAACAGTAATAATAATAGAAAAACAAAGCAATACTCCTATATAATCTATTAAATTTAACTTTTCTGATAAAATGGAACAGAAGAGCAGCATTTTAGAACAGAAACAGGAAATCATGCATTTGCTAACCACAGAAGAAAGCCATGGTAGAAAATAAAGGCATAGCAATGCGCACGAAGAAAACGGAATGTAAATTTTAATATAGTGGCCTATGTCAGAAAACCAAATTTCCATTTTAGTAACATGAGGAAAAAGAGGTACAAACTGAAGAGACTTGAAAAATACATATGAACAGTACCTTGAGCTTCTGAAATATTTACATCTTTCCTATCTTCTGCCTTATTATCCAAGACAGGATCATCCTAGATTAAGACAAAGGTCTATCATTTACTGCAGCCAAGTAAGAAAGGGGGGGTGTACTCAGATGCTCAGGGCCAAAGCTTATTAAATGGATTCTGAGTGGAACAAACTGTACTGAAATAATTGAATCTGACATGGAATGCACAGGCTAGGTCAGCATTACTTAATTATTAATGCAAGCACACATTTTGATTCAACTACCAAGAAAAACATCTGTAAAAAATATTAAAATTCCAACAAAGGTACTGAACAAACACTGTCAGTGCATCGATTACCGCCTTGCTATCACCAGGGAACCAGCAATTCAGAGGCACCCGCGGGTTTAGAAGGCCAAGCAGGTTACTTCCACCTCACCACCTGCAGGACCCCTGTTAGAAATGTTAATTGAGGGGCAGGGGCCAGAAGCACTGAAGCTTGGCCTCCTCTCACCTCCAGCCAGCGCAGCCCAGCACACAAATTTACACGTTCTACCAGGACTGAAGGTATTTGCTGCCTGTCGCCCGCCGATCCCAGGAATCTGCCTGAAATTGCCAGAGCTCAACACACGCAGCCCCAGGAGACACCTCGGGCACCCCAGCAGGAGGCTGAACGGCTCCAGCAGGTCCTCACGCCAGACAGAACGAGGTTTAACTTTCACCACCTGTACACGTACTGCTGTGCGAGAGGAACCCCAAGCGAATTTACTGCCGGTTAGTATTGTCCGGCTGCAGCATCTCGCTTGGGGCTGGTATGGGAGAGCTCCGGGGAGGCTCTAGCAGTGCTCTGCACGTGGAGCTGCAGAAAGGGCACTTGTACACACAGCACAAAGCTGTCCCTCCGCTCCTCCACCTGCAGCTCCTCTCAGGGCCCCGGAGACACAACTACCAACAGTGCTGCTGCTGCCAGGTGGTGTGCTGGTGCACCTGCTCCGTACTGCTTTAGCAACCACCAATTGCTAACTAAGGCTATAAAATTAAAGCAAAACTGTATCAAAGACACTGTCTTGCTTATGTACATCTGGAAACACAGAGGTTTTTATTAATGTTACAGCAAAACACAGCAGAACAATTAACAGCGCTTTTCTAGACTATAGATCTTGAGAAATCTCTGCACAAAACATTTGCACTCTTACCTTCATGTCCTGGTTCTCTTCTTCTGGATCATCTCCGTCCACTCTGAGCACCTGGAGAGGCGCATTAGTCTCTCCCTGCTTTAGGATGCTTTTATCAACACCTTCCATTCGTTGTTTTTCAGTGGTAACTTTAACTTTCAGCATATGAAAAGGTGTTGGCACTTCACCCACATTCAGATACATAGGCTCCCCTTCAAATATCATCCCCTCACATTCTCCCTCCTTAAAGCCAGGAGGCTGGTAATCGGGCGGTGTAACTGCAGGAAAGAATTGATTCAATGCGTTAGAACAAAATACACCCTTGTAAAATTTAACTCGTGTGGCAAAAGTACTCTTTTCTCTTCCCCTCATTAAATGAAAGGCGATACATAAAAAAAGGTGTGGAGAGAAGAATAATCAATATTCAAATTGTACTAAGTGATAGTGTTTCCCCCTGTACAACAGGCAACACCCAGTTAGAGCTACCTGACAGTTTGTATGTGCAAAGAGATGAGCTAGAAGCTCTGATTTCACGTTAGAAAGCAGTAACACATTCTGAAAGCAGAGCTCGACATTTAAATAGTCATTCAAACTACAACCGGTCTGGCAAACACATTACATCCCAACATGCTCAGGAAAACTCAAATTCATTTTTAAAAGATCCTGAAATCCTTGCTCCAATGAAGTTGGTGACAAGTCCGTGGAGAGTGAGATCAAATCTGTTCTCCTTGGATGTCCTAAGTCATCGTGAGAAACTGACACACGTAAAATAACGACATTTTAACAACTTCCAGCAACCATAAAGAAAACACATTAAAACATTTCTGTGAATTGTTTTCCAATGCCTGAATATAGCTGATAAATCAAGGTAATACGAAAATATTACCTTCATCATAATAAAACAGCTTCATAGTCAGGCAAACGTCATTCGGCAACGGACTCAGGTTTTGCATCAGGACGTAAATCTTGCGAATGAGGAGGATACTCGCTTTCTTGGTGTCTGCACAGGTGATGGTAGAATCATTCCTTTTGGTTGTACTAAAAATGAACAAAGTATTTATTGGTGCTTTTTTTCTTTTTATGCAGAATTAACTGTTTCTAGTACCAAGACACACAACTGTTTAACAGTCTACGAACGCCAGACGCAGACATCACACTCATTGCCTAAGGTCTCAAAGTACAAGCGCTGCAATTTCACTAAGTGACCTGCGTGTTCTCTGCCTCTTGGAAGATCAAATCCCGAGGCAGAGACATCAGGAAAAGGTTACGGTTCAACATCTGTGTTTTAGATTACACAGTGCTTAAAAAACCACCCAATCCGAAAGAAAGAAGAAACAGGTAGGTACTTTCGAAAGCCCCAGCTCTGTGAAGTCTTACACGCTTGCTTTCCCTTCAATAAAACAAGGGATGCTGTTGATTTTGACAAGAACGGTTACTGATAAAGAAAACGCCTGCCTAAGGGACTCCTTGCATCCAGCTCTCACTTCCACAGGCCTGTCCTACCAAGAGCTGACCCGAATCCTTCCTTACTGCCACTAAAAATGCTCCTCCTCACAGCTACGCAGCCGAGAGGCACCCAAGGAGCTCATCTGCCAAGCAAAGGGTAACAAAACGTGAGTTATGTCACTGGATGACCCTTTCTTCTGGAAGCACGCCCTTAACTTCAATGGTTTCAAACGTCTTACCCTCTGCAGGTGGTTATCTCTTTCCATGCAGCATGTCAGAAAATCATAGAATCACAGAACCAGAAGTAGGGTCACACCTCATATTTTCAAATTAGTCTGGCGTGAATTTATGCTAATACACCACGGTGTGGCTGAGGCACATCTTGCATCCCTTCCCACCAGTGGTTTTTACACAACTTACAGCCTGGTTTAGAGGTAACTAGATTCAGTCCAAGGTAGCCAGGCCTGCAGCACTGCCTTTTTTTTTTTTTTTTTTTTTTTAAAATTTAAAAAGCATTTTATGCAGGAAGAAATCTCGAAGTTCGTTAGGCATGAGCTTGCTACATTTCAATTACTTGTCTTAGAAGAAGATGTGTCCTTGCAGCTGTGACTGACCAGTAAACCCCGACAATGAAAGAAGGCTCCGAGGAGACGGGCAAGGGTGGCTAGGCTGAGGGAGCCGCACCGGGCACACCGCCCCCAGCTGCTGCACAGAAAAGCTGACTTTATCTGAACACACAGGGCACCCGAGCATGGCCGTCCCTGCAGATAAACAGCTCCGTCAGTTTGAGCGGCTCAACTGGTGCCGTAAATGTTTCTCCTTGAGTTCACTAAAACCGTGTGAATATCTTCTCGCATTAGCCAGACCAGGATGAGGGGAGCGACTATGCGGCTCAGCGCGACGAGCATAAGAACTAAACGACTAACAAAAGAATTTCCGAAAGAGCAATGGGCTGGAGCTGGCCTCAACCAGTGCCTGGATGCCCAGGGTCGTGACGCTGAGCACATTATAGAGCCCAGGCAGAGGAATCCCACTAGTACTGAATGAACCGTGTACTGCAATAGCTAAGTGTAGCTTCCAAAATACCCTGACAATGCACTACAAACGTATCAGCTCTGCTAGACGAGAAATCCTACGTAGTATCAAGAAACTTTGGATAAGTAAATCTGATATTAAACATTTCACTCTCCACACATGGAATATCTTAAAGAACCTGGTCAGAAAGTATTGAACTCCCTAAGAATCATCTTTTGTGTAGATACTTTAAAATATGAGCATAATCTGACAAAATGATTAGTTTTATTTCAAGAATAACACCAAGCTAATAGTATATGCTGCTAAAATTAGTCTTAGGATTGAGAATTAAAAAAGGAAATACCAAACAGGTAAAATCCAAAGTTTTCACGTTCCTGTGCGTGCAAACGGACTGTAAAACCACAGAGTAAAGTCCCAGGGACAGTACCTGCTGATATCCAGGAGTGGCCCATTGTGGGTATACTTGAATTTGAAGTGGTAACATTCTGTAATTGTCTGCAAACAAATCCAGTAATTATTGAACCATCAGCTGTCAAGGAAACTACTGCTCTGCTTCTGTCTAGTCATCTATAAATCTTGCATTTAAAGAAATGCAACGGTAGCCCAACTCCCACCTGATTCACACGCATGGAACAATTAACAGTATTAATGTATATACTTGTCATTAAATAAAAGTTATCCATATTATTTTCTAGGAATCACCAGGATAAAACATTCTGAAACATCAAGCCCGAGTTTTTAGAACAAAACACTCAAGATTTTAACCGTGTTTTTTTTTAAATTTAAAACGTTTCACACACGTAACAGAGACTCAGTGACCCCCAGTGGCTAGTTAAGGCATACCGGGTTTCGCACAGAGAAGCTCCCTGAGCTCATTACGCACAGTCAGGATGATGCACCTGCAACAACTTTTTGGTTTTCTTGTAGCGGCCCGAGAATAACCCAGATCATAAACTCGATGTTCCAAGGCAATTCACTACGTGGCAATTCCGATTAGCTCTAGTGAATCTTATATTTGATATTTTAATACGTCAGTTTCTTTTTTTTTAACGTGCAATAAGGGGAATATTAAGTACTACTGGTTGTATACACATCTCACTATACCCATATTGTCATTAGGCATCCAGTAAGACATTCTAGCAGATTTACCTGAGGATCTTCTGGATGGGCATAGACCTGTATTTTTAAAGTAAAGAGAGGAACCCAAGTAAGAACCAGACATACCTCTAAGCATTTACCTTAAAAAACGTGTACCTTTTCAAAGATACTTACTGCCAGGACAATCATTCTTAGCTGTCAGAAACATAATCAGAGAAAGAAAAACAACATTAAATCAATTCCACAGCCCGTTTCTGCTTACCAAGCTGTCTGTGGTCTCTAGCTGTGGGAAGCAATACAGACAACTAAGGCCTGCTTGAAGACAAACCTCTTCATGCACGGTTTAAGAAAGGACTCCCTCAACCAGGAGAAGAAAATTCCTTCATATCCCTGACTTTACTTCTCTTTATGAGGTATATTATCCTGAAATGTCTGTGCATCCCACAGGGTAGCTAACTAGTTATTAAAGCTCAGCTATTCCCTAACCACGAAGCCCTATAACTATGCAAGCAGCTAACCGTCTTACAGAAACTAATGTTTCAATACAAGTAAAACAGCCAAATGATACTGGAGGACTTACATATTTCTTCTGCAAGGCATCATAGCATCCTAACATCCTGCAAAAATCAAATAACATTGTCCATCTAATTTTCATTTGCTTTGCTTCTGATTAAATGAAATAGTTAAAAAAAATAATCAAAATTCTCATGTTTAGCCTTATCAGAATACTTATTCTGTTACTGCACCTTATTAGTAGCGACACAAGCAACGACTATCTTTGTAACACCAAATCATCCCAACCTCTTTGCAGAGCAAGCAGAAATACAGTCTGTAAGTCAACGGTTTATCAGTAAAAACACAACGCAATTGCCCATCAACCACTTTCAAGCGTCTTTTAACACGTGTATTCATTAACCGGTTTAAAAGTACCTCAGCTGAACACTGACATCTCCAAAGGACAAAGGAGCTATGCTACTGCCTTCATCGAGATGTTACAATTAGCTTTTTACATAACACGCAAACAGCCAAACAGTGAACCAAAACTTACCCTCACCTTTTCCTAACACTTCTTTTGAATACAGTTAACAAGGAAAAATTGCTTTTGGTGTGTACCTAACGCTAAGTCAAGAAAGGCTACTCACCTGTACACTCCAAACAGGCAGCGCACACCCTTCCCATAAAGTCAGGGAGCTTTTCCTTCTCAGCATCCACAGACTGCCACCCCACTGCCCTCGCTAATGTTTAACGTGGGGGGGTAAGGTGAAACCAGCTTGGCACCACTTCAGATTCCTCTACCACAGAAGACCAATTCAGAAATTCCAGGTTACAGTGAAGGAAGCTTTTTCCCCACTCCTCTCTTAGTGACAGCACACAGATGACTCTTAGTGACAAAGCACGGATGACTAATTTCACCTTCAACACCTGAACTCAGACCTACAGCTCTGAAGACTCAAGGGCCACAAACCCCCGTTGCTGAACGCAGCATCTTCTTCCGTGCCTCACCTGGTACTACAGCTGCTTAAAGTGCAACAAGAGCAAGGATGGCCTTTACAGAGGCACCAAAAAATAGGAACGTGTTTATAAGGCAAAAGCCGCATATACTCTTTCCTAAAGAGCAAGGAGAGCTGACTTGGAACAAATCTTGCAGTAATTGTGAACAGAAGGGAAATCAAAATAAATACCTCCAGCCTTTCTTACACAAGTCTGAGAGCAAGATCATTACATTCAAACCCCAAAATGTTAACACTGCGTCTCCTGTTCAGCTACAGAGGAGCTACTGGTTAGATTTTTGCATTTATGTGCACCCTTGAGCACTCATACACCCACAAAAACTAAATGTAAAGTGTAAGCACTCTGTGAACAAAGATTTGTGCCCTGCTAAGCACCGAGCTGTAAGCCTTTCTAGAAACACAACTGTAAAAGTTAACTAAATCTCTACTGATTCGATTTTCCATCTTAAAAGAAAAGTCAACGTAGTAAGTGCCACCCACTGAAAGAACTTTTTTCTTTCTATCCGCAAACAACCAGAACAGTATCTTTCAGAATTGACACCCTATGGAAGTGTTATATACGCACTGTAATTCACATACCATTTCACCAGCTGAGAAGAGCCAGGACAGCTCTTGTCTTCCTTCAGAATTTTCACACAGACATCTCAAAAAAAAAAAAACACAAACAAAAAATATCCAATTTGCATATTTATTTAGGACAAAACACAACCACATTGCCAAGAAAGTGAAGTTAATTCCCTAAATTAATATTATCCAAAATTAACATTATTGACAGGTATTGGCATAGTTTTAATTGCAATTAGCATCACCACTACCTAACAAAAATTCAACAATGACTGTATCTGAGAAGTTTCAGTAACAGTCACAGAAAGTGGCTATGACCTTTAATTAAGACAACCAAGTCGCTTTAACAACACTCGGTAACTTCCCAACAACTGTGCAACAACAAATTTGGTGAAGAACAACGAAATCAGCCTGTTACCATCCATGTATCTTGTTCCATAGGCACTTTCAGGAAAGATTCCTCTCAGGTAAGTAATGCAGGATACAGCGACTGCCAGGAGCCTCTTCACTAGCATCAGGGACTGCTGTTCAGTAGTTATTTTACTAGGAAAAACAACCGCACTCTGGAAGTTTAAGAAAGAAAAGAATTAATCTCCGTCCATAACAACAAACCTGTACCACCTACAATCCAGTCCAATGCCTGCTGCACTTTTTATTAATTATGAAGGTCATACTTTTCAGGGAAAGTTAAGCATATTCCTAACACTTGGTGTTACTATGTTTTTATGACATAGCTGATCTCTCCCAAGTGCACGATCACTAACTTTACTATTAAGCATCTTTATTCATAAAGGCTGAAGTAGTTTGTATTTTTCAAGTGAAGAAATATTACAGAGCACCTGGGTGCGTTATTTCAGCTAAAACTCCCTGCTTTTCCAATTCAAGTCATACATTGCGCTGAAATACCCAAGGAAAAAAACGTACCATACAATTCTTCGGCTTCTGAGCAGTTGCCATTTTGCAGATACTCTTCTGTTAATAAAACACCTGCATCAGTATATGTATGAAACCATTCACATGTGCACGTGAGCCCACCTGCCGCTCTGACAAGTCATCTGTATCAGCACAAACCTGTAATTTTAATAAAACACAGGTCATCTAATAATCATCACTAGTAGATTCTTGATATCCCTAGCGGTACAGACCTCCCCCAAGGGTGCAGGTCGCAGTGACCAGCACGCTGTGCTGGGGTGAAGCCCGAGGCTCCCAAAGCCACGCAGCGCAGCACACGCTGGCAAGCAGGGTAGGGCCCCAAGAAGACATTTGCCGTATTTAAGTCACCTCCAGCCAAAGCTGAGCCACTGCCTTTGGAAAACACCTCCAGGCTTGGGTTATTTTCGCCTGCAATTTACACGAGTACCACAGGAGACCACTCTCCAGCTTGTCCTTCTGGTGAAAC